TGTTGTCCCTCATTCCCAATCAATTAGAAATTATTCAGTAGGTAAATTGCATGAAATGTGCTTCTGGCACTTCAAGCACAGAGAAGCCAACAGTCTGCAGGGCAAGGTTGGTAATTATAAACAAGTAAACAGAGGAACTAAGCTGGATGCAAAACATAATATCTGATTTACACCTTGTCCTACTTTTCAGTGATGGACACTGCTGTAAAAACCCTTGTCCTTTGACAGATGAGAAACTATTAAAGCGTAACTTAACACCAGGCTTAAAGGCAGTATTTCACCGTCCTGTCTAGTTAAAAGTATCAAGACTAATGCCCCTTTGATCACACCCAGACTGAGGGTTTGGTTGGGTGTGGTCGGGTGTCTTCAGCAAGGTTCTAACTTTCACATATAAATAAATTGCACTGATCCCGATACTGATATCAGATTTCAGCTCGATCGGGGGATGATCTATTCAATTTCGACTACACTAGGCTGGTTCCAGTCTTATCTCACAGCCAGGACGGAGTATGTGGCTCTAGGACAGTCCCAATCATCACCCCACACAGTCAGCTGTGGAGTGCCACAAGGGTCCGTCCTTGGTCCAACCCTTTTTACCATCTACTTACTACCCCTCGGTCACATCATCCATAAACACAAAGTTTCATTCCATTGTTACGCAGATGATACACAACTATACATAAAAATGGACTCTACACTCCCCTCAGCTCTGCCATCTGCACTTCAGGTTTGCCTGGAGGAGATAAGGGCATGGATGGCTGACAACTTTCTTCAACTAAATAGCAGCAAAACCGAAGCCATCTTGATCGGTACTCCACATCAAACCCAGTCCTCCTCCCTCAGCAGTATATCCATTTTTGGTCATCACATTCCCCTGTCTACTTCTGTTACAAACCTTGGAGTCAGACTTGACTCAAATCTCACATTCGACACTCACATCCGTCACCTCTGTAAGGTCTCCTTCCTCCACCTCAAAAACATCGCCAAACTCCGCCCCTCCCTCTCACAACTAGATGCTGAGAAGTTGATCCATGCCTTTATCTCCTCCAGGCTGGACTACTGTAATGCCCTCCTCGTCGGGATCCCTGGCAGGAGACTGCAAAAGCTCCAGCATATTCAGAACTGCGCTGCCCGGGTCCTGACGAGGAGGCGCAAATATGACCATATCACCCCAGTCCTGAAATCCCTCCACTGGCTGCCCATTCAATACAGAATTCAATATAAAATCTGTCTCCTTACCCACCAGTGCATACATGGAACTGCCCCTGCCTACCTCAGTGAACTCCTCACCCCACTCACCACCTTAAGAAACCTCCGCTCCTCCACCTCTACCCACTGCCTGCACCAACCAAGGACTAAACTCTCCACCATGGGAGACAGGGCCTTCCAGGCAGTCGCCCCACGGCTCTGGAATGCCCTCCCAGAGCCCCTAAGGGCCCCACAAACTCTGGAGGTTTTTAAGAAGGGCCTAAAGACTTTTTTATTTCAAAAGGCCTTTTAACAGTCATGGTTTTAAATTTTTTGTTACGGTGTTTTATTGCGATTGTTATTTTCTGGAACTGTTTTTAACCCCTTGTTGTTCTAGCACTTTGAGATTTCCCTGAAATGTAAAGTGCATTATAAATAAATTATTATTATTATTATTATTATTATTTAGTTATACGCGTGTTACGTGATGTGTCAGCAGTATACCGGTAGACTTGAATGGACATTTTGCTAGAAGAGCTAATAGCATTTAGTTTTTTTAGGAAGCAGTATTTATGTTTAAGCCGGATGCCTTACACATAAAGGATTGATTCCCAGTCTCTTCCTCATGGTGAGGAATACAGCTTATTTATTTTACACTGGTATTGGATTGGTACTCGGCATTGGCTGGTACCCACTGAAGAAGTCTGTTCGGTGCATCCCTAAAATAAATGTCAGTTACATTCAAGCCCTTGCCAAACGAGTTCACACAATCCTTTAAGCCTATCACAGACAAGTAAATCTTTGTATTTTTTGGTATCTCTGCTCTGTGGTGACATTCCTGCTCTGCTTTTACACCAACCAGCAATGATTGGTTGGCCAGAGCTAAAGGGGGGATGAACCTAGAGCCATGTATAGAGGTCTGTGATCTGCCATTGCTGTAAAGCATTTGGTGTACAGTTTTCATAATATTGTTTGTCACCCTTGGATAGAGAAATGACCCCCTAGAAAAGTACTACTCGAGCCATTTAACCCCCCTCCTGGATTATCCATTATTTGTGTAATTCAATTTCATTGTACTAAGGAAACTTCTTACATGTTCGAAGTTGTGATGAGCTGATGTTGTGATGTCTCTTGTTGCTGCCTTGAAAAGGTGCGTCACCTCACTACTTATCAGTACTCACATCACTGCCTAATTAGCCACAATTAAGTCTGGAATGAGCTACAAATAGTGGAGCAAAATAGAACACTTAATTATCTTTCTCTTCAAGCTGTTTTCCACCCTAGAAGGAAAATGCAATGCTAATTAGCTGGTCCTTAAAATAGCCTGCATTTTGGATTACCTTTTATCAACAGGTCCTGGAAAACAATCTGCTCTCAGTTGCCAAACAAAAGGAGTTTACTGAATATGAGGTATAGTACAGTATGATGTACTATACATAGGTGATGTAGTAAACTGTCTAGTAAAAGTCTTTGCTGCCCTCCCTCACTGCCTAGTCAGATTGAACCCCACATGTAATCAATAATACAGTACACATCATAAAGTGGTAGAATCTCAAACTGAGATGTTGAGCTACCTATTGGTTGAAATTACCACCTCCAATGTTTACAGATATACAGATGAGTTTACAGATGAGTGTGCATACATAAATAAGCATCTGTCATATTTGTTGTTGTCTCACTTAACAGGTTCCAAATACATGCAGGATATACTGCAGGCTGTACAGTACATTAATGATTCACCAACATGTTTTTCCGTGGCCAATACATGACATTTACCTCTAATCAGTCTTCCTTCATATCTGCGACAAATGCAATAATTGCCTTGAATGGCGGGCTTTGAGGCCCTCATAACCTTGCTAATTCTCGCTGATTGCCAGTCTCTATCCGCATACATAATAAGTCATGTCTCTTCATTTATCATTGGCCCTGTGGCATGCATCAGTGTAAGTCAGAAGAACTTAGATAGACATGTGTCTCTCTAAAGACAAGAAGGAGTTGGTAGTCATCTCAGGAGACTTATGTTTTCTGTGGCACTGATGATAATGCAGGTCATCTGTACACACAGACTAGATGGCAGAGAAGAGCAAAGGAGAGGAAAGGGGGAGAAATGGAGCATGGGAAAGGGGGGATGAGAGGAGTGCATCCAAGCCCCTCTCACACTGAGCTGGGAGGCGAGAAAGAGAAAAAAGCCATAGTGGCTGATAAAAGAGCCATTCAGCTGAGAACACCAAGGACCTAATCGCCAAAAACAACCTTGAGATTGAGCCAGATCCCAGAGGAGCGAAGAATCTGGAGATAGAGGGATTTCAGTAACCCTTTCATTAATAGACTTTATTTATTTATTTGACCGCATGACTTATATCAAAATGTATTAGAATCAATCAAAATCAATTAAGGTTTATCTGAGTGGAAAATATAGGAAGAGTGAAGGGGCAAGAGAATGACTTAGAAAGACTAAGAAAGGAAGAGGAATAAAATAACTTGAGAAACTAGTTGGGTGTATTAGGGATTAGATTATGCCTGTAGACATGTCAGAAGTTGCAACATTGCTGCGATTTCTGTGGTGTTTACATTTTAAATCAAATCCAGATGGAAATGGGATTTTTGGCCTTCAGTGCTGTTAGCAGCTTTAACTCTTCACATTTGACTGCCTCTCTGGCAGCAACCCGGAAAAGGCTTTTCACTGCACTTTTGTAGCTAGCAGGAGATTACAATTGTATTTTAGCCTTCATATATTATATATTACTTTGCCTCTGAGTAAGTCTGTATTGGGAAACATTTACCTTGCTCAGTCATAGACAGCCTTCGAGGAATATTTTTTGGTGGTTTTGTCTATCTGTGATTAAAAGTTTGTCTATAAGACTGAGGAAACAAAGTTTAGGGCTACAGAAAAGTTAACAAAGGATAAATATATCATGAGGTAAGTTATATAGATAACTTTGCTTGTATTTTGATCCCAATATATTGAAGAAAACCTGTTTTTTTTTTTTTAAAGCGGCTACAGGAAATTAATTACATTTTTATTACCTATTTTGACGGGTTGTATCTTATAAAATTTAACCATTTGCTGGCTTTCTCGAATACCTCTGATGGTCTGTGTGCTGCTTACTATATGAAGAAATCAGACTGAACATCATGTCGGCCTGCTTATTCTAAACTCTGAACTACACACAGCAATAACGCCATAGCTAACACCAAAAGAATGACTGGTTTACAGCACAACACAGACTCCAACATAAACTCCCCTCAAGTACAAAAAACATCAAAAAATGTTTATGTGCTGAATGTTGCATGTTGAATTATGCTGGCCAAACGAGAATCAGATCTACGTTGGGTGAAAACACTGGTCAATATTGGAAATACGTTTCAGTTGTGGAGAAACCACTGCTTTGTTTTGGACACAAAAACTGACCCAGAGCTACCTTTCATCCTGTTGGACAGGTAAACTAACATTACTTTAAATCATATGAAACATATTGTGTTTTTGTGTTTAACATGACTCAAGTTAAATAACATTAGCTTGCCGACTAATGGCGACCAGTTGTTATTCGTTGCAAAATGCTTTAGTTGTATGACTTGCCACATTACTTCACCAGCTAATGCGATCTGTATTACCATGTTTCTGTACCGTTATTATGTCAAAGTGTTGATTTTAGCCTGCAAGACATTATGTAATTTACAAAGAAAATGTGGAGCTATTTGTTTATACTAGCCTGTAGTGATGAAAGGCAGGAGGTAGCAAGCTACATTAGCATGGATCTGACATAGTTAGCTTTGTAACATTGTATTTACATTTATTGTCTTTTTACAGATACTCAGGTACACAGCTCCTTCGCCTGTCTCAGTCGCCATAAGTTGCCACATAATATAAAATAATGCAGCATAACGGTGCAGGACAACACCACAGTGGAAGACCCATTCAGTAAGTTACATTAACATTACAAAAATCTCATTTATAATATTCAGTCTTGCTCACTAGCTGTTTTTGTTATTCATTCATTAGGTATATTTATTCACAACTATCTCAGCTTGAGGCAAATATGTGTAATGAAGTATTGATTATTTATCTACCCTAAATCATTAAATGTTAGTGCAAATTGGTATTTTAAGTAAATGCCATTGACAAAATTGTTTCATTTATTGTAATAACCTCAGACCAGATAGATAACCAAGTGTTATGGAAGCCTTCAAGTTTTTATTGGTAACACTGATCATGTTAAAGTACTTTCGCTTCTCTGCTTGTAGACAAATGAATAGGGCTACCAAAAGCCAACTTTTAAGGCTTTTTTTTTTTTTTTTTTAAATCTTGAAACACATTTTAAATTTGATAAAGTGATTTATCAGACTGAGTTAGTATTTTTGTGACAATGAGAAGGATTTGTTATATGCAGTCTGCAAGCACATAGTTCAAGATGGCAAAGTTGTGGGCAAAACTGTTTTTAACAGGATATATAAAGGATGATGAAGGCTTTTTTCAGTGTAAGTTCAGTGGGGCTGCAACCACTGATTATTTTCACTACTGATTAATCTGCAGATTCATTTCTTGATCAATTGTCCTGACTATAAAGTGCCAGAAAAAGTAGGAAAATACCATAATTTCTAAGAGCCTGAGGTGACGTCTTCAACAGCTACAGGCACTCACATAAGAGCAGCTGGGACCAGTGAATGTTTGACATTCTTGCTTGAAAAAAGACTTAAAATGATTAATTGTTTATCAAAATAGTAGTTAATCTATCTATTCAGCTGGAGTTCAGTAGGTTTATACTGTGACAAGATTTACCTAGCAAGGGTTCTATTTTTTCATAGCAGTAAAGATGAATTTGAGCTGTACCCACCAGGGACATCACACATGCCACAAAAGTGGGAGGAGAGGTGTAAGTATGTGGGAGTTCAAGCTGAGGTAACACAAGACATGTTGGTATTTTTGATGAAAATTGGGTGATTGACATAGCACTGAGAATCAATATGTTTACCACTTCACTCAGTTGATAATTATGTGGGATGATTTCATTGACGAGCACAAATGAAATCTGTGATGGGAATGCACAGCCACTGGAGACAAGTGCTTAATTATGTGAACATTCACTTTGACTATATATTCTCCAAGGTAGACACAAAAATGCTTATTCACTGTTATTGTAGCAAAAATGCTCTAAATAAGTGCATAATAAACTAAAGATACATAAGCGATTCTTATTAGTATGTGTTACCTACAACTGCTTGTATACTGTGTGAAAGCCTCCCCCTTCAGTTTATTAAATCACTGCAATCATTTGAAGGCAGCAGGAAAGATGTGCATTTTCCACCTGCAGGATCTAATATGAAAAGTGTCGCCAAACAGCACACACCACACACAAAATGATACATTGTGGGAACTGTGATTAAATCATACTTAGCCAGCACCAGGTTGCAAAATTAGCACAAACGTCTGCGCTTCTGTGCACATTAAACTGGTAGCTCAGTATGCTCCCACTTTTTACTGGACACACCATCAGATGCAGGAGACGGTGACATCCTAGAAAAGCACTTCTTTTCTGTACATAGAGAAAGTCTTAGATCTTTGAGTTCAGCTCATGATCAAAGGGGGAAAGTGTTGCGTTTATAATTTTGTTCAGTGTACTTAAATAAACCGTTGTTTCACTCATGATTTTAGCATTTTAACCAGCACCACCATTTTGGACAAGCTTTAAACCCCATTACCAACAATGGCATAATCAGTCATCTATTTTGTGGTAATGTAAGGTACAATGAAAATTGCAGCCAGCAGGGGCCACTATCATAGATGTAGGCTTTTTGTCTTGATGAAATAATATGACCACCTCCTGTGGGCATTCTCATTCCTCTTTCTGCATGTTGACATGGCCTTCACTTTGCAATTTGAGTGTTTTTAACTTGTTGGAACAGAAGCATTATTTGTCTCAGGTCTCTGTCTCTCTGGGCTGTGAATGATTTATTTCCCTCCCAAATGCCTGAACTATGACAACTTGTCAATTTAAGTCAGGATCATGGCTGCTGACACATGACACTTTTCATTTAATTCACTGCCATGCTGGGGCACCTCTTCATATTTAATCACAGTCCTACTTGAAATGTGTTTTAATTGTACTGTGTTATTATGTAGCATGCCATTTTGCCTTGGTCATACAGACGTCCTTTTTGAAGCCTCAGTCTGACTGGGCCTTGTGGCCCGAACCCAGATTTGTCCCTTGTATTAAACATTATCTGCATTTTATTTCTCTTTGCTGACTGAAAGTTTTTGAAGGTCTTTTATATTGTAAATGTTACATGAAGAAGAACCAACCACTCACAACTCTGTCTGCTTTAAGTGATATCAGAGCCATGCATATGTTCTCTCCTGCATCATACACATAAGGAGATAATATATGCATATTAGACCTGAGTCTTTTATGTGATGTACAATATGAGATGCAGGCCTCTAACAAGATTATATATCATCAAAGGAGAAGGTTTACACTGGTGTTTTTTCAGGGCATATTACTGTGTTTATCAGTTCAGATGAAATGTAACCAGCACACAGAATTCATTTTCTTTCTGGCTAAAACACATTGACAAGACTTGCAAAATTAGGTGTAGCAGGTGCAACATTTCACCTGTAAAACACAAAAAATGTTGGTTGACCCAGTTCACCACCAGTTTACACAGTGGCAGAGTTCATTGTCAAGGGTAAACTCTGTCAACTGCACCTATATTGAATTATGCAAGAAGTAGGCAGGGGATCATTATGTGACATCTGCAGTGCCACCAAGTGCTGGCAAAATTATAGCCTGAAGTACTGTGTGATTGGCACTTAATGAGCGAATGTGAGTGACAATGAGCTTTAGCCTGGGGGCAACAACAGCATGGGGCGGTGGTAGGTCATGAATCTGGAATAATGAAACGGTAAACGGCCTCTATCTCTGGTATTGATTTCCCTAAGCCTTGGTCTATTTTTTATGTCCATGATCATCTACCAACATTGTAGCCACTCGCACATAAGGCAAGTGGCACCTATAGGCACTATGCATGTAGTAAAAGAAGAAAGGCACCCAAGGGGTTTTGACTTATTCCTTCCCTGATGGACTCTTTTAGTCCATATCTCATACTATCTCATACTTAATAACAGACTTTATTAAACTGTGCTAATTTTTTTGTAGCTCTACCTTTTATAGGGGCTAAAGCTTTACAAAGTCCTGATAGAGGTCTTCCGTCATCACTTCTAAATGGAAAGAAAAAAGGGATAGGTTTGCAGAAATGTTGCCTTCGCAGAGGACTTGCACTTGACTCCTGCTCTGTTGTCTTATCAAGCCTTTCATTAGCATGCTGCTGCTGGAGCTCTTCATAAATGTAGATGTTAATTCACAGGAAGCACCCCCACCCACTGAGCCTTCTCCTCCCCGTCCCCAGCCATTATGCAGTTCCTCATGGATGTGTGACTCTTCTCCACACCCACCTGTCTGCCAGTCTTCCTCCCCTCCTATCTGTCACTCACATTTTCATCTACAACCGCCTCCTCTCCCCACAGCTACTTTTACTTTTCATTTTATGTCTCCATTTGGTCTCACCCTCTGAGCACAAGGATGGATGTTTACAGTAACAGAGCTGCCAGATTTAGATTTTATGTTTCATCATCAAATTAGCTGTGTGCCACATTTGAATGATCTATTTTTTTCACTAAGTGACGTTAAAAGGGCGATATGATATTCTCACCAATACATTAAGGTTACGTATGCATCATTACTAAGCTTTGAATAACTACAAATACAGCTGCCTGCTGGGGGGAGATGGAGGTATACTCTAGCTTTCATTCATCAACATGAATAATATCCCAGAATGAGACAACCGATGTAATGCAGCTAATTCACATTTTAGAAAACCATTGAATCAATCAAGTGGTAATGAACTCTTCCTCCTATATTTCATTGGTCTTAAATGCATTTAATATTTGGTATAGTTTTTTCAAAATACATGTCATAGCACATGAAAACCATATGAGTTAACATATATTGTAATTATCATTATTACATGTAATTTCAGGAAAATAGTAATGTACGACATTTAAATAAGTCCTGCTCACGAATATTTTAGCATGCTGGATGATTCATGGTCATGTAAGGTTTAAACCAGGTCCCCCATATAAAATGTATTCTCAAGTTAGTGAAATGTGGTAGTGGTGCTTTTAAAAAAAAATGTTTCTGAGGCATGTTTTATTTTGCTGAAAATGAGAAACAGACTGGTATAATAAGGAAGAAACGATAACATGACATAAGTAGTGTGCCAATACTGTGTCATCATGTGCACTTCATGCAACACTTTAGCTTAGTGGGAGCCTCCATTGTGTCCAGAGGCATGCTATTAGCCCCCACAAAACCAGACAAATGTCACTAACCTTCTGTACTACTTAGCAAGCCACACTATTAACCTGAAGTTGGCCTACCTGAAAGAATTTATTTCATCTACTGAATGTTTTTGCTTTTCTCTGTAATTTCTCTGACAAAAACAGTGCACATGTATCATCATAATTCATTCATAACCTTGTAATTTTTGAAGGATGTTGTTCAATTTTAACCTTATCACCTATTTGCAGATGTGAACTCAACATTCTTTTTTAAAGTTGTTCTCCAATATTCTTTGAAGCTGAAATTCATTGTTTCCAACAAGATTTGAGTGTAATTTATAGTAGGTGAGGTGTGTGGGTGCTTTCAACATTGCAAATGCTATTCAGTAATTTCTGTTACGTTTGCCTTAAATGTGTAATTTTCTTTTGCTCCCCTGGAATTTATTAAAGCCCATAATGTGTTTGGTTGGTCCACCAATAATTATTACAAACAGTGTTTAAAGGTACATACATTAGTATGGCTATCGTAAATATGAGGAACCCTTTACACCAACAAGCAGTCTGAAATTGTTATCTTTTAGAGCTATACTGTAATTGGATAAAATACTGGTTGAAACGATGAGTAGAACTATAAGGGACATTGCTTTTGTGGTTGGTAACTAACCATGTTGTAACTATTTGTCATAATTGTATATACTATAATTTTTTTGTTGTCAATCTATTCTATACACATGGCATCCATTGCATGTCGGTCCTCATTTGAATTGAGGGTCTAAGGACAGAGGATAAATTCATCTGTACTGCTATGAAAAATAGCACATTGTGATATTGGGCTGTATAAATTGACTTGACTACGCTCATCTTTTTTAATTATTGGTGGTAATACACCGGTGATGAACACCTCTCAAACTTAACCTATCAGCCTTGTCAAACTGCTGTAATTTGCAATGCTGTTTCTCAGCTTTATGAATTCATTTAACAATTCATAATGGATTTTTATTATTTATGATTATGTGGCATGGTAAAAATATGGTGGTATGCCGAAGATGGCCCTATGTAGGGGAAACACTGGAAATCAATTCAAAATAAGTTGAACCTGCAGTGTGTCTACCAAAATAAAAAACATTCTCTGCTTACATGGAAAATACTTAGCACTAATAGCTCAGTGTTTTCCACAGACTGTATGGACGTAGAAACCTATGGGTGACGTAGTGACCTCACCCATAGTTTTCTGAAGATCTGTTGTGAAACTCAATGAGGGTGGCTTTTGGTGGCTCCTGCCTCTGGCTGAGAGGGCACCCACCTGTCACTCAAAGTGGCCACTCCCTTTATTATGCATAAGCCTTAATCATTTGAATGGGTAAGTTGTATAAAGATTCATCACCCTCCCTCAGTTGTTGTGAAGGGGGAAATTAGCTATAGAGACCAAAACCGTTATTTGTACCAGTCTGAAAATCAGTTTGTTGGTTGGAAACAAGCAATGACCCCTGCGCTGTGCTTTGCCCTGCTTTGCACACGGTTGAGGGATATGGCCTTTAGAGTGTAAGGCTACATTCACACTACTACATTTTTGTTTTAATATGCAGAACTTTTGCTTCTTTTGCACAAGGTTCTGCACGTTTTGGAGAAAAAGTCATATTGCGATTATTGTGGATAAGATTGTGATATAATGGAACAAATAGTACTATGAGTATACTTTCTTGATTATCAAAGAAAATGCACAAAATACTGACATGTAACAAAGTTAGACAAACATAAGAAGAAATACAGTTTAAAAAATCAAATAAATGAAATGCTGATTTTTACCACATTGTAAACTAGGCAGGAACTTGTATAAAAGTGTAATATAAC